TGACGGACGGCGCGGAGCTCTGGAGCGCCCGCATCTCTCCGGACGGCGAGGCCGCTCGCGTGCGTACTGGCCGGGTTCTCGGGTGTCCCGGGGCGCGCAGGTTTGGGGTTCCCGGCAGCTTTTGTTTGTTTGTTGTGGTATCGGGGATCGAACTCGGGACCTTGCGCTTGCGAAGCAGGCGGCGGAACCACCGAGTTAAATCCCCGGCCCCACCGGGCAGCTTTTGAGGAGGCCCTGTGCCCACAGAAAGACTGCTGCGGCCTGGGTGTGGACGAGGACCTCACGGAGCGGTTCAGGTGAGCCCAGGCCGAGGAGACGGGGGCGGGGTGGGGCCGGAGGGCCGGCACCGGTACCCAGGCGTCTCCCCAGGACTGCCTGCCAGGAGCAAGCCGTCGTCCTGAGCCTGCGGGAGGACAGTGCGTCCCTGACCCTCTCCGGGCCTCCCTCGACGCTGACCTTTGACCTCTCCAAGGTGCCGGGCCCCGAGGCAGCCCCCAGGCTGCAGGCACTGATCCTGGGCCTGGCAGAGCACGTGTGCAGCCTGGAGCAACGGCTGGCAGGTAGAGTGGCCAAGGGCACTTGTACCCTCAATGGAGCCCTGCCCACGCGTGCCACACGCCTGGCAATGAGTGGGATGCCTCGCTTCCTCCCCAGCTGTGGAGGAGACAGCTGCCAGTCCCAGGAAGAGCCCCCGGCAGGCAGGGCCCCCGCTTTTCTTACCAGGTAAGATGTGGCCCGCTCAAGGGTGCGCTGGGTCTGTGTCTATGGGAGGGGTTGTGGCAGGGAGCTGCCGTGTTCAGAAGGCCCCATCGTGTTTCCCCAGACCCTGATCCCCAGAGAGGTGGCCCTGGAGCCGGGGCCAGGAGACGGGCTCCGGGGGAGTCCCTCATCAACCCTGGCTTCAAAAGGTACCTGCCCACCTGCCCCTGCCCGCCAGACCGCTGCCTCTTCTGTCACACCCCCACAGCCCCACCCCTTCTGTCCCCCCAGCAAGAAGCCGGCTGGTGGCGTGCACTTTGACGAGCCCTGAGGACAGCAGGACACCTGGGCTTTTGGGGAGTCTTCCTCTGAGGGGTCGCTGCCCCCACAGCCCCACCCTACTGTGCCTCTGGCCCCTTGACCTTTCTATACATCCAATAAACAGCTGTCTGGTGGAGGCTCCGGCTGGTTGTCTGGGCTGGGACAGCCAGCTTCTGTGGGGTGTCCCTGTGGCTCGGCCCAGGGTGTAACCAGGCACACCCGGCCGAGGAGAAGACTCACCCCGCTCTTCCTGCACTGCCACCCAGAGCTGAGGGGCCCAGCTGGGCAGGGCCAGGACACC